AAATAACTAGGCGGAGGGGGGGGGGGGGGGGAGATGAGCAAATAAAACTTTAAATATTAAATCATTCAAAAAATTTAAATGCAATTGATAATTAATGCCACTGCTGAGAAAGAACTAAAATAACCATTTCTCCCAGTTCACTCTAAAACCTTTATGCATTCAGTTACACATGAATGCATAAACATGCACAGAAAATTGAGTATAGGATACATATATAAACAGACAAATTTCAAAGTGCTCACTGTAATATACTTTCACAAAATGAGTGTCATTTTCTTTTAAAGCCCTACAGGAAAGTAATAGGGTTTCAATATGTGTGTAATAAACACAACAAGCCAAGGGAAAAAGTATTTCATGCCTCATAAAAATCTGTATTGGGCCTGGTTGGGGGATGGGGGGGGGGAGGGGGGGGGGGGGGGGTAATTTGCCATTTGCTCTGTTTTGCTAAGACAAACGGGACTAATACTCCAGTGCACTGTGGCAATATAGTGTCTTAAAAACTGAAGAACAGTCTCACTATATGCCGTGTTTGCTTTATTCAGTTTCTTAAAAACAAGTCAGTTTTAATTATTAACAACAACAACTTTTTCAAAAGGGAATACCTACTGCCATCAAGGTTGAACAGTTGCTTGGCACTTTGGACTCCACTGTCTCTGCAGCCAACATATCCAGACTGAAAAAAAATGGACAGTGGAGATATGAGAATAAAATAATGCATTTCATATTCTATCAAAATAACAATTTCAAACGAGGAAGCGTGTGCACAGTACAGCTGTGGTTATATGTGTGTACATGCTGCAAGGCTTCGTTTTTAAAAGGAAATTAAATTATTTGCTGTAGTGACAGTGGAGGCAAACATTTTGCAGGCAAAAGGCAAGACTGCAATAACCCCAACCTCCTCTTCACAAAACCCTTCCATTAGATTTGAAAAGCAAACAGCCCAAAATGGCTGGATGAGATTAGAGCCACTCAACTAGCTGTGAAATTAAATAAAATCTGTGCATGTTGATTTGAGGATTTACATACAATACTCACTCTAGAGGGGGAGCAGAAACCAAATATACAGCTCAGAATGATTCCTGACAGTAAACAGCAGCTTTAACTGAGCTTTGTGTTGTAGGAGGTTGACAGGGTGGGGGTTGGGGGGTGGGGAATTAGGAGCGCTAAGGCATCAACAAGAGAGAAACAGTGCAAGTTCTCCTGTCAAAGGATTTTTGCAGAACCTGAGGATAAGAGGATAACCTGTACTCAGTGACGTTTGTCTACTCACATGATTAAAATGGAGAAAACATTGATCTAGGATTGCCAATCTAAGATTCTGACTTTATGTCATCCACATGCAGAGGTTCACGTTATTCTTGCTGTGGAATGGCTGAAGACAATTGGTACACAAATTAATTAACATCATATTTCATGTTCCCACCCCAGTTTACCCAGGGCCGTTCCTTTCCATCTTTCCCCCCTTTGTCTCCTCTTCTGTTGTCCGATGGGGAGATGTCTTGGTTGAGTCTGTGCTTGCATTCTTGGACCTGTTGCCATTCCACCTCCTGTTGGCTGGGCTTGTCTTTTGCCCACCTAGCCATCACATCATAAATGCACACCCACAGGGGGTTGTTGGCAAGATGATTCTAGCTGCACTAAAGCTTGTGGCAGGAGACATTAAGTGGCACAGTAGGTCCTAGAGTGATTGATGTTAGCCACTGTAAAGTCACTATTTCAGGAGATGCAAGCTCCTAAGTACAGCCTGCCAGTGGTCAGCGAAGGCAAACAGTTGCAACTTGGTCTTCTGGCCAGAGATTGATGATACCAAGAGGACTGTCAGTGTTGTGGGACTTTTGGAGCTAAAGTGGCCATTAAAAGCCACACAGGTCAAACACCAGCTGGCCTGCTCCATCATTCAGTTCTGAGTCCACACTAACTGGGTTTGAAGGGACTGCAGTTCAACATGCTGGCTTTGTTACACAGTCCATTTAATAAAGAGAAGGGGGAAAAAAACAAGCAAAAAAAACCACACATACACCCTTTTTCCTAGAAGGTAAAAAGTGTCTCATATGGACAGTCATGAATTTATACACAATACAAAAGCATGGGACCCTGACAGAACAGAGAAACAGCCACTTTCTGGCTATGATAGAACTAACCATTTTGGAAGTTTCCCCAACTATAGTCCAGGAATTGACATTAACCACCTTATCTCCTGAAATTCTGCTTCTGGCAAAGCTACAACTGCCACCTTTAGGGACCCATCAATATCATTACAATTTTTAAGTTTCTCCAATATGCAACCTCAAAAATCTATTTCTAGACTCAACACATAACTGAGGGAAAACAACCCACCTTTTCTGTATCAGTGTTCTACATTTTCTTAAAGGCAAGGCCAGGTAAGAAAATGTGCATTCAGCTGCAAAGCACTTGAATATCACAGATCTTCATAAATATGAAAAATATTAAGTGATCTCATACCCTAAGAGCAGGCCAAGCTTTGTTAATGCCATTAGCTTTCTTCAGTCTCAACTATCAAGTGATCCAGCTGATAATGGTCTTGTTGCAATGGAGCATTGCCTCAAGGAGCCGCAGGACAGTTCATTGATATGAACTGAATAGATAACCACAGCCATTGTTTGAATTCCAATTGTTTGCTCTTATTTACTACCGAGAGTCATTTCCAAGATGATAGGGCAACCTTAGAGATCAATTTTGTCCTTGCTGTGAGGGCATTCATGCTATGTGAACAACAAGTGAAACAAGGATGGAATACATACAGAATATATTTACAATAAAAAGCAGATGTGCCTCAAGTGTAGCAAGATATTAAAACCATATGCACTAACTACTTTTAGACAGTGTACTTGAGCCATGACTGATGACATTTCACAAATATAAGAACAGACTGAGAAAAGCCACAGGTGAAAATGATCTGTAACAGAGCACGAGTGAAATGATGTCACCTCCAATGAGTGCTTTGTTTTTTCTTTCAGCATATTCTTGAGCTGAACCTCAGGTGCACTGCAATCATTTTGGAAATGGGGCAGTTCATTACCTACTGAACTAGAGGCCATTCTGGGATATGCCCTCAGTTGTTGACTCGCCTGCAGTGATTTCCACTGGCTCAACATGGAGCACTTCAGAATGGTGTTTTTTTTCCACGTTCCCACCTCTCCTTACAGATGTATTGCCATGATTTATGATTTGGTCTGTGTATCCAATGAATGCGTGCTCAATGAGCAGCCACACTGTGAAGACCGAGGTGACGTGAGTTCAGTTATGCTTGGGTCGCGGAGTGCTACATATCTGAATAAGTCTCACCCTGGATTTTGCAGCATCACCTTGGATGGAGTCTCAGTAGATCTGGACATGTCAGCTAAGGACAGGCTCACAGCAGACAGCAGCCCACTCTGCAGAAAGAGAATGAGACACCCCTGAAATGAAAATCTGTCAGAGGGTAAGAAATGAGTGACAGCTATCTATGGTTGATTTGCAATTATACAGTGGTTTAATTATAGTAAATGTTACACATCATCAATATTCATGACACCGTTTTCACAGAGCATGAGTGAAGTGACTGAAGGACTGACAACATGGAGAAATTTCAAAATCCATTTTGAAATAGTCAAGGCCAAAACTGAGGGTAAGCTGCATGAGCCATTACAGTATGTAATGGGAGATGAATTCTGACTAATAAAGAGCAGGTATAATGCATAACTTTGTCCATTCTTGTGGTTCCATATAGTTTTTGCAGTTTCTTCAGCACTGTTTGTTTCCACCGTCACCCCAAAACTAAGAGGATACGTATTACAATACACTGCTATTTAAATACAGTTTTAAAAGCCATGTCATTTTGTAACTGTTACTTAGTGCATTCTGGGTATGCTAGCATTTATTCAATTTGGAACTCTTGAGACCATCTCATTTGGAAATCATGTTAAAAATGAATGGCACAGACTTCCTGGAATCACAGCGGGGCCTGGATGTCTGTGCTTTACTTGGCTGCAACGGTGTGCAATATTTAATAATACAGAAAGCAGAAAGTTGTCAAAAACCAGAAGTACATGCCGTCTATAAAATGGTATGTGGATTCATTTTACGAGTTAAAATGTTATAAAGTACAATAGGAAGTCCTTAGAGAAAACTTAATTTTACTTGCAGGGTTTACAGTCTATTCACTGTCCCAGTCATTTTCCTTCATGACACACACACACACACACACACACATATACATATATATACAAAGCTAAAGATTTTAACACATCAGGCTTAATAATTATCCCATTATGGTGTTTAGAAAAACTATTCTCCTCCTTGGACTGTTTTTTTATCAAAACAGCAGGCCTTGTTTTGATTGTTTACCATCTCAGGAATGAAAACCTTTTAGTCTACAGGCCTCTTGATGACCTGCTTACATCTGAAACACTCAAAATGGCTTGTTTGATGCATATTTACAGCTGTATCAATTTTTATAACTACTTTGCTGTTCTCCCGAGTAAATCTGGCAATTATACATCTTCACAAGTGTTACTAGGAAACTGACTATCCAGCATTAATTCCCTATAGTGGCTGATCCCATACCACACTTGAACTACACATTCTGTTCATGTGGCAAGAGCTGCACAAGAACAAGGAATAGTTTAAACTAAATTTTCTTCTGTTACTGGGTTTAACACAAAACCTAAGTTCAATGGATGAATATTTCTTATTTAAAACTGCTGTTCATAAAGACATTGTTTAATCAGTCTCAGTACAAATGTACTATTTCAACATCTCGCTATATATATGAATGCAGAAGAAAAAGTCATGTCAAAAGTGCACCAAGGTTAAAAACAGTTCAATATTGTGGCTAGATGGTTCATGATGTGCTGGACTGCTGGCTTTTGTGAGCCAATTAATCAAAGTAGAATTTCATGTTAAATAAGCAAAAACATGCAGTAGCAGCTGAGAACAGAGCAGAAGTTGGGCTATTCAGAACAAACCTGCATGAATCACACTGCTGGTGTTTTTGTTGTTTTTAATGCAGCATGAAGCGAATGAGCATTCATCACGAGCAGTGTTTGAATGTAATGGGTATTGTAGCTTGTTGTTATGGAAAAAAGTGCACAATGTCAACTTGCTGTTACAAAATTACCAGCAGAAAATAGAGTTGAAGCAGCACCTTTTCTGAAAAGCCCACCCTCAGTTTTACAAAAAGAGCAGGACAGTATAAGAACAAAGTAGGGCTTGACTGTGATGCTTTTGGTAGGGTGTGTACCTGGCGTTTCTTTGCGTGGCTGGCAGCTTCAGTGGGGTGGTTAAACCGGAGCATGGTTCCTTTTCCTAGCTGTATGATGGCACCTGGGGGGGGTAAAGCATAAAAAAAATGGCCAAATCTGACTCACTTACCTATTTGGTACAAATACTGCAGCAAACAACTGTTTCACACTGTGGAATAAGTCTGGCGGAGGCAAAATGTGATGTGTTTCAAGACAGATGCAAGTGACAACAATGTTAGAAGCTCAACAGGAAATCTTAGAGGTGCAGCAGTATGATGCATAAAAAAGTGAGGAGCAAAATACTCTGGCCATGGGAATCTTCCTCTTTCTGTGGGATTGTAGTGAACCACTGAGCATGTGGAAAATGTGACATGGCACAGAAGGTTCTTCAATGTTTTCCTCAGCTGAGATCAAGCAAATGAACTGCCATGAGGAACAATCCCCCATATGACTGACAGGGAACAATTTATAGCTGAAGTCAGAGTTTACATACACTTAAAAGCAATTTTTTTTTTTTTTACCACTCCACAGATGTTAAACTCATTTTGGCAAGTCAGTTAGGACATGTACTTTTTCCAACAGTTGTTTACAGATGATTTCTCTTAAAATTCCAGTGTGTCAGAAGTTCACATACACGCAGTTGACTGTTCCTTTAAACAGTTTGGAAAAGTCCAGAAAATGGAGTCATGGCGTTATAAGCTTCTGATATGCTAACCAACATCATTTGAGTTAATAGGAGGTGCACCCGTTCTTTGGTCCAAACAGTACAATCCAATCCCAGAACAACAGCAAAGGACCTTGTGAAGACACTGGCGGTAACAGGTACCAAAGTATCTATATCCATAGTAAGATGAGTACTATGTCGACATCACCTGAAAGGCCACTCAGTGAGGAGGAAGCCACTGCTCTGGTCTGATGAAACATAAATTGAACTGTTTGGTCATAATGACCATTGTTATGTTTGGAGGAAAAAGGGGGAGGCTTGCAAGCCAAAGAACATCATCCCATTCATGAGGCATGGGGGAGGCAGCATCATGTTGTGGGGGTGCTTTGCTGCAGGAGAGACTGGGGCACGTCACAAAGTAGATGACATCATGAGGAAGGAAGATGATGTGGATATATTGAAGCAACATCTCAAGACATCAACCAGGAAGTTGAGGGTTGGTTGCAAATGGGTCTTCCAAATGGACAATGACCCCAAGCAGACTTCCAAAGTTGTGGAAAAGTGGCCATCACAAAGTCCTGACCTCAATCCAATGGAAAGATTGTGGGCAGACCTGGAAAAGGATGTGTGAGCAAGGAGGCCTACAAACCTGACTCAGTTCTGTCAGGAGGACTGGGCTAAAATTCCAGCAGCTTATTGTAAGAAGCTTATGGAAGGCGTGCCAACATGTTTGACCCAAGTTAAACAATTTAAAGGTAATGCTACCAAATACTAACCAAGTGTATGTAAACTTCTGACCCACTGGGAATGTGATGAAAGACAAAAGCTGAAATAAATCTCTATTATTTTTGATATTTCACAAAGTAGTGATCCAACTGATCTAAGACAGGGAATTTTCTTAGGATTAAATGCATTTGGCTAAGGTGTATGTAAACCTCTAACTACATGTGTATCAAAGAACGTGGTCCATGGAAACTTGAGAAGCCTAGCTATAGAACTGAAGTGATATTAGAGTTTCTATATCAAACTCATGTGGCCAAATCCACACATTTTCTCATTCTCCTCCCCTCCTTAAAGCTAGTGCTAATCTTGCTACTTTTAATAACTTCTGATGAATGAAAAAGCACCTCAGAGGGCAGTCTGTGATGGATTCCAAGAGTTGAAATTGAAACTGAAATTTGTTCAAGAAAATAGCTTCAGATTCAGTCATTTCTGAAGGGGCTAAACCCAAATCCAAAGCAAAGTGGTGTGAATGAGGAAGCAATAAGCAGTGAAAGCTCCCAGCCCTGACAAGCAGGGTCTGCTGAGAGGGGCATGAGTTTCAACTCCTCTTGGCTCAGTCCTTTCAAAAGGTTAATGCTCTGGCCCACTTCAAACCTGTCGGCCCTATCAACACCATCTGCCAATTAAATGGAGGGTCCGGGGCTTTGTCCAGGGCCTCTCGCCCTTCAAAATGTTTAGTAAGAGAAATGGCATCTGCCTGGTGGAAAGCTGTGTTCACAATCCACTCATGCCATGAGTATGCTGCTGTGGGGGGAGCCAGGGACAAAGTGGATGTTATTTGCACATATGATGCATTCGCCTCATAACTACATTCAAAATGGATGCAAGTGTCATTGCTTCCCACTAGCAAAATAATTGCAAATATGAGTCACACACATACATACATACACACACCCATACATGTATATACATACATACATACACCCACCCACAACCATACACAGAGCAGTGTTTCAGAAATTCTTACCCTGAGTTAACTGGCAGGAACCAGTGACCACAGAGCCATTGACTAAACACAGCGCGCCATCCTGAGGGATCAGCGTCACGGTCCCAGCACGGTTCTCAAGCACACAGTGTTCACTGCAGAGGCCGAGCCCATGAAGCACTGCAATGCATTTAAATATGAAAGCATACAAAGAAGTGTTGCTTATTTTTCAGACGAATGGGTTACAGCAGCTGGAAATACAGTACAGTAACCTTGACTCACCACTATGTGCTTTGTCACTCCCAATCAGGGTTCTTCCCTCCTAAAGTCAAAATTCATATTATACTTTAAGGTATTATTTGCATCAGAGCAATTAAAGACAGCTGATCTTAGATAGTAATGCTTTCTGCAAAAATAAAGAGCAAGGTTTGAATAAAATTAATTTGAAATGCTGCATTTACCTTCAAATAATATAAGATGATGCCAGTGCTGAGTAGATTTTCATCAATGCCTATCAGATGAGGAAGCTGGCAGTCCAAGACCACTCCACTCCCCTCTTTCCTCAGAGCCACAGTCTCCTCCTATGGGACAAAAATATATATAAATGCACACAAGCATATAAATGGGGTGGGGGTCCTTTCAATAGCCTGTAGCTGGAATGACAATATAAAATAAAAATGCTGACAGACATTTAATGACAACCAGCAAACAACTGAATTCTTTATGACTGTTCTTTGTTCCCTGAAGGCCAAGCAGAACAGCAGCGTTCCAACCATGTATCGCCATGAAACACGAAGAGTGGCTAATGGCAAGAGACACCAGAAAGCATTCAAATTATTGTGGTGAGAGTCAAACTGCACACTGTGTTCAGCAAACAAAACAGACCCAGGTGGATTGTTCTATACATTGCCTTTATGGATACATAGCAAACAACTGTATATCACTATTAAAATACCCCTGAGCTTGTAAAGTATGTCAGCGTTACATAAAGGCTAGAATCTTCAGCTAGTTCCATATAATTTACAATGTGTTTGAAAGAAGAATGCTGTGGAAGGTCAAGTGAAATTTTGCGCATTTACGCTCAAATTCATTATTTGTTAAAGGAAAAACTGAATAACTAGTCAAATAAATCATAAGACCATTCCACAGGGCACACTCAAATTTTCTCCCCTATAACAAAGTAGCTGTTGCATAAATGCAGACTCCGAGTGATGACACTTCAGTATACATATTTCACACACAAGCAAACACTGCACTATGACGACAAATCAGTTACATCACAAGTCAAACGTATTAGAGCACCTCTCCACAAAAATGCATTAAGTGGTACAAACTGAATTAATTTTTAAAGCACAGAACAGAGTGATCTCACTTCTGATCTGCTCCGTACAATACTTCACTGCCTCCAATCATTGTTGCTGAGGAAATGTAAAAGCATGAGTCATGCCTCCTTACAGCACATCTATCAAGTAACAATATTAATTTTGTATGAAGTCATTCAGTATCATTTCATTTCTAACTTCACTAAAGAGGTATGATTTACAGTAAGCATTAGAATAAACCAGACAAGCTATAGACAGATTAAGTTTTTGAGCAGTTAATTTGCCAATTATTCAACAAGAAATGAAACACTTAGCGTTGGATGGCCTGCCAGGTTCAAAGGAGATGCTGAATTAAGCTATAAAAAAGAAACTTAACTCTCTAGGCAACTGTTCAAGGCGCGTAACTTTTTCCTCCCAGGGCAAAGGCTGTGGTTCAATAACCCAGAGTCTACCCAAGTATGAGTGGCCCCATCAGAAGTATTATTCTGTTAAGCTAGTAGACTAATGCCTCACATTGCCATGGATTATCATAAGTACCTTCCCAGGAGGCAGAGCAGAAAATCTCACATATGGAGATTTCACAAGCAACACTAAACTAGCTTCCATCTCTTTCAACCTCCTCCTGCTCGTTTTCATATAGATTGGACCGTAAAAAGAGAGACATGCACTACCAGAACCACCTCACTCTTTGGCAGTTGTGAGATGGGATAAATCCTTTTCCCCCCCTAATGAAGGAGAGGCATTGACCCCAGTCCCCGTGTTTAATTAAAAGGGATTCTTCACAGACTTCATTAGGTGAGGAGCAGCCTGGCAGATTAATGCACTGTCACTTTCCTCAGACAGCGCGAACAGATGAGATCCTCTATTTTCTCCTCACATACCAGAGAACGATGGTCCTCACCATTCAGTGTATGTGCACGCTATGAGGACAAGTTTACTTTAAGGTTGAGGCAGCTGGTGAACAAACTGTAATTAAGTGTGGCCTAGACCAGCAGCCAGGCTTGGGCAGCATTTAGGCTTCCATTAAAAGCCATCATCTGTGGCTGGGCAGAATTTAATACATTTTTTTTCCAGCGCTTTGAGAGTTCAAGTTACGAACTTGATTAATTAATATGCATTTCAAAATGCTACCATACTAGGCCTTTCCTGACTGCCTTGTGAAGTGGAGCAACTTGCCAACAGAACAGATAGGTACCGATGCCAGAATAAAGAGGGAAAATGTCTGTATTGAAGCTGCTGTTATATTAAAAGGTTAATTCCCTTGAAAGAGATGTATTTATATCCTGGATCCCTACTTTTTATAAAAGTTACAATGAAAAATTGAAAGTGAAAGGCAGTTGCATAACTAGTTTTCAAAAATGGCATGAAGCCTTCTGTTTGCATGATTGGTTATATTCTTTGGCATCAACTCACAGAAAAGACTTTCTATTCACAGGTAGAGAATATGCTCACATTTCAGATTCTTTTAGTTTGTGTCTCATTTGATTAAGGAATATGAAAATCAGCCTGACCGTTAACTGTCATGGCTGGTGTTCAAAGCACAGACAGGGAAGACCCAAATGCAGACACACAGGGAGGTGCAGTGAAGAACTTGTGCAAAAGATGACAGACTTGGAGGCAGGCACAAAAACAATACAGGTAACAGACACGGCTGCGATAACAAGCCTGGGAAGCAATCTGGGGAAGAGTTGATGAAATAGACAGGTTTTATCCAATGTATGTGGCTGGTTTTGTTCGTTACAAGCATAAATAGATAACACCTGCATTGTGCATATCCTGTGTGTTTCATGTGTCCCGATTTTAACGAATTCATTCAAGAAAAGAAGTTAAATTTATTTTGGAGCCAAGCTTTACTGAGATAAGTTGCTAACTACAATATGAAGGTCAAGAAATGTTATAATGCCCAAATATGATGTACAACTACTGATAGTATTGGGTAACCTGACAAACAGAACAAGGCTCAGCAGTCAGAACTTAGGTTGTGCCTTTGTGCTGTTTGTAGCATGAAAATACAAAGACTACCAGGATCAAAGAACCACTGTGCCTTGTGTCATACTGAAATGGAGGCTCCTCCCATCACACTGTTAGAAGTGGACCGGAAAAGGGTTGCTGGGGGAGCATTGATACACACACATACCCCTGCAGAAGAACAACTTTTCACTTTCCCCTCTTCCTGCCTTTTTGTTCTCTCAATCTGTTGCCATCTCCGTCTGTAAGAGGCTGCTCTGGAATCCATCTCATATTAATTACCCTCTCTTTCCCACATGCCCTGTAACCAATCTGGGAAGCTGACGATGAATAACTTTGCATTCTAAATCTGCTTTGAATACAGAATTCGAAATTCTGTTTACACCACTCTTGGTCAACTCGTCTACTTACAGCCCAAGCAGAAATTTTCATCTAGCTCTCAGCATCATCATCAACTGAATTATGCACAAAATATGACACTTGGAAGGACTAAAATAAAACTGCACTCAAAAAAAAAACAACATTGAGAAAAACATTCACAATGTATAATATACACTTAAACATGGAGGTTAGATTATACCAGAACCACTTTTTAGAAAACTAGGGCTGGGTGTGCTTCTCTGTACAGACCTGAGCAAAGACAACCTCTAATGTCTGTGCAGCATTCCATGCAGGAATCCCACTTATCATTTTACAGGCAGAAAGCAAATGCACAGGAAGACTGATGTCAAATCCATAAAGTCATACATCAAACACTTAGTGTTTTGGCAACATTGTTGTTCCTGCTGCTCACCAGTACAGTTGCCCTTTCACCCAGCTGTCATGCATCATAACAGTGGTGTCTACATGGATGGGCATAGCTCTATTATAAAACATTTTTCAGCTCTGCCAGTAGAAAGGGACAGTAGTGCCACTGAGCATTGAGTCATCACTGCATAAGCATGCAAACAGATCTACAACGCTAACTTTAATTGATATGCCAGACAGAAACAAAAGAGCCATATGTCAATAATCAAGACCTCTTAATTAGGAGCAGTGACAGCAGCTGAGTTACAATACACTGTCACAAAGGGCTGTCAAGCCACTAAATGTCACCTGCTAACCACCATGTAGTAGAATGTTAATTATCCAACATATGCAAACAGAAATGTTATATTTTAAAAACATCTTAAATGTAAAGCACTGTAGAAGCATTCAGACCTCACTCTGGAACAGACCGACTAGGCAAGGACAAGTCAGGAATGGACAAATATATTCAGAGACATCTTTCAAAGGCCAGATCAACTCAGTAGGTTAAACCCATGCAAAAACTGTTAACTGGTTTGTTCTTTTTCTTCACTGGTGTACTTCACAATTCTATGCATAATGCAACAGGTTGTTTGGCTGACAACAATGATCCCAGCCATATTGTGTTGTTTGGGAGGTAGGCCACAAAACCAACACAAGAAAAGTGCTCAGTCTAAAGTCTAGACTGGCAAATGGTGGCATTTTTTTTTGTTGCAGCTTGGTAACTCACAAGGATGTGACTGCCCTGTTCCAGGCTCAGAAAAACCATAATGGGCTGAAGGAGAAGCATGTCTGTTTGGTTTCTTTGTCAGGCTTCCCAAACACTGGCACGCTAACTTCACAATCATTACAAGTCATCAGCTTTTGGGTGCCATTTAAATCTAAATAGCTGGAAAATTAAATTTATATGCCAGGTTGACCCTACTTTCATTACCCTTTCCACTCCTTCAGAGGCTGTGGCTGTTTGCAGACTTGCGGTGACACCAGCTGGTAGGATGTCTTTACTGCAGGCAGCAAGGTCTGTCAAAACAGCAGCTGGGAGCATGCTGCTTTATTGATTGTTAATGATGCATTTACTTTGTGGCCTTCCACTTAAATTGTATACATGCTTCTGTACCAAGCCTCAAATGGCATAGTTTTACATTATTCTTCCCTGAATTTAAATTTGGATGTTGGACTTGAAATACAATTTGTCACATATTACTAAACTGAAAATGGGGGCATAGAAAGCAAGCTAGGCAACAAACACCTAAGAAACAAGGGCACCTAACATATTTATCTTTCTAGAAACAAACCTCCAAAGAACTAAACTGTTTACCCAAATCTGCACAAAAGAAAAATTCTAACTATAGGATTTCACTTTAAGAACTACAACAAACTGAATCTCTGGAGCAGCACAGTTCTTAGGAAACTATCCAGTTATTGTCATTCCCTAGCTTGCTATACTGTATGTCCACAAAACATGGTAGCCAGGCCTCAATCTTTATGCTAAGCTCACCTGGGCTTTTTAAATTTGTGTTGTAAGAACAGGTCATTTTAACTAATCAGCAATCAAAACTATTGCCTCTGGTTAACAGTAATGTGGATGAAGCCACAAGTGCATAGGGCCATCTTATGGGCTTAGACATACAGGATCACAGCAAAAACAATTATAGGAACAACAAAAAGGCTATGCATATGTAAAATATTGATCTTTCAATGTTAATTGTGTGTCCAGCTTTACATTGTTTAAAGACGTGAACAAATCATTTTTGTACAGTACCTGCAGAACACTCTGAGTCTCTCTCCACTTGCTGGTCCACTCCTTGGTCAGTGCAAAAACCTGGTCAGGAACATTAGGAATAACAGGTGCATTGTTTACAGAGAACAAGATCAAAACACTTCTGTTCCACATTTTGCATAGGATGACTTACCTTTGACTCATTTTGATGCAGCTCCTCCTCTACCTTCAAAGAGGAAGACTGCTCCCCATGGGGAACCTGGAGTAGTAGTGGAAAGACAGCCCAACCTTGAATAAAAGACTGTCAACATACATATAGTAGTATTTTGATGGCCTTTATGTGAGCTAACATATGCAGGACCTGACTGGCTTCTTCCAGTAGCCTTCGGAGCCTAGTGACCTCTGCCTGCAGCTCTCTGATCACCTTCACGTTGCCATCTTCATTCACCACAGGAGTGTTTACTACGTTTTTAGCTCGGCTGGCATAGCGCAAAGTGCTCAAGGTCTCCCCGTAGTTCACATTAGCAGGAGAAATGGCTGTCATGAGGTTACCATGGAGGAATGCACAGAGGTTGAGATAAAACATGAAAGTCAAAAAGAATGACATTGTTAAACAATTTTTTTGAAAAAACAAAAAAGAAAACACTTTCTGGATGCAAATATCTTTATAGTACATACTTGCTATCATAGTAGTCACAGAGTTTCCACCAAGGCTGTCTTTTAATAGCCATGTAAGAACAGAGTGTCTGTAAGGAATAAAGATTTGCTTCTTTCTTGTTGACTGCCCTCCAACACCAAGATCAGCTGGAAGGTCACACAAAGGGGGGAAAAAAAACACTGATTTAGAGAATCCGGAGAGTTCCACTATGATATCAAAGGTTTCATGCTAAAGCTCTATAGATGAGTTTTAAGAGCAAAGGGGTCATTGTTCAGTATTACGGTAATCCTTAAAGCACTAAGGCCTCAAGTTTGCCAAAATCCTAAATATAAAATGCAATAGTGAGTTTAATCCCAACCATAGTTTTATCATAGCAGATGTCAGTGTTTAATCATTTCCATTTGTAAACAAAATTACTGTCCCGACATAGTACGATGGCATGATAGTCATCCTGCAACCGCCATTTACCCAAAGCAGAGATCACACTGCCTAAGGTGACCAGGGATTTGTTGATGTTGGCACCTTCCCTCAGCCTGGTGCCTGTGTTGCGCATGGCATCAGCTCTCTCGCTGCCTGCCAGATCTACCAGGTGGATCTTACTCAGGGTCTCACGTGGCAATTCCTCATCAAACCATGCCTGTGGCATGGAAAAAACATTACCAAGTAATCCTTGTTTAGTTCAAAAGAAGGAATATCACAGAGGAATAATTAGGTATACAGGCGGTATCACGACAAAAGTGCTACTTAAGACAGGAACTAGAAAAGCCTTTGAAGATAAAGTTTAAAATATAATTACATAAAATGGATAAACAGCTAATTAGAGCTCTTGAGGGATAATCTTTAACACTCAATGAATTTTCAGGGAAACTTAAAGTGTTAACTCAATTCTGAAGGAAAATGTGAGACACAGCAGCAAGCATATATCAAGCACCAAAGTTCACCTGGGTGAAGCTGATGGTGAAAATGGCGTGGGAGCGACTGCTAACATCATTCATGCTGGTGCTAGCTGTGGTGCGATTGGCATTGCCAAGAAGGATCAGGCTCTCCATGTCACTGTGGTTATGGACCAAGTGCTTGGAAAGATCTACACACAAGGTAAAGTTTGTTTTATTAGATTTTCTGCATTTCATACAAACTCAGCCGAGATGGACATGGGTTAGAGAATAAAATATTCTTACTCTCCACATAGGGCCCGTCCCTGGGATGCTCTCTCACTCTCAAGCCTCCACCATATGTAGTAGTTCTCTTGAGAAGGTCCTGCACACGTTCATTGTAGATCTCTAAATAGCTGGTGACAAGGCAGAAAAAAAGAAAATCAAAATATGATACAAGACTGCCCACAAGGCCACAGAGGCACAAATTAATGGAGTGTGTATATGTGAATGGCTCATCACCAAATGAAAGCCAAAAGTTCCTATTCACTCACTACTATTGAAAGAAATGCATAGTAGTTTCAAAGCCAGATTACTGTGCTTGATTTGTTCTTCTTGCAATGGCAATGAATAAACAAACATATGCAAAGTAGGTTTTGGCAAAGCGCTTCAGTCATTACTGTGGTAGATTTGTGCAACAAGCAAAGGTCTGAGTGGCTGATTCAAAAACAATGCCAGCATGGAGCAATTAGGCTTTATGAGAGCATGACAGTAATGAAATAGCAGAGACCATATCCTGTGGCTGTAGCCATGCAAGTTGTTTTCTGGCACAGTGTTACAATATTAGACAGTTCCGAAATGACTGAAGCATAGCTACCATTACAGTGTCAGGAAGGATTATTAAGCCTGTTACATTTGATTCCAGTTACCATAATTAAAATGCTTCCTAGGAAGCCACCTAGTCAAACACAACAATGGCAAAATATAGGTCACAAGTTTCAGAGGAAAGCTAAACTCAAGTAGTCCAGTATCTTATACATGGGCAAGCAGTGGAGACCAATAGTACCGTACTATTAAAGAAAAAAAAATGCTAGGAAGCTCACAGACATAATACCCAAATGCTGATTTATTTTATTTTTTCCCAAAGTTCTAAAATCATATACCTTAAATTTTGTTGAGACTTTAGAGACCCAGGTTGTGACAGAAACCCACTATGTTGTGTGAGTAAGGAATGTTTAAATATTTAAACTTACCATATTCTGTTCACTTGAATCAAACACTTAAGGTTTTTTTTATGTTGTCTGCACATTGATTATCCCCTCTATCACTGATACAATGACTAGTTTTTACTGATGATCGTGCATTTTGAACATTTGGAAGACAATGTGCAACTTATAACCTCTGCTAGGCCCAAACAGTGCAAATGTGTTATTTGTAGAAAGCCATTTTTCAGTCATTTTCCTGCTATTCAACATTTCTAAAGAAAGGCCTGGCAGAGCCAGTCAGATAAAAACCCAATTCTAGAATTGAATTTACCCCAAATAATGTGCCCGCGGCTCACATGATATCAAGTGGCTGAATAATGGCTTCACAGTAGCAAAGATTTTCAATTTTATCTTTGAATATAATCATTTGGTAATAGAGCTGGGATATGAAACATATTGTAAAGAGAGATGATATCTCGGATTTTGATTATTATTTGAATATAGCAATAAACCTTAATGCTGTGTTTTTCTGGTACTAAAAGACTACACTACAATTTGGTCTTGCAATTTTCATACAAATGATACAAACAGACCTTACTCCCATACTGAAGTGACAATGCTCATGATGCACCATCTCTATACAACATCATGCCACATTGCCCATTTACATTCATCTCAACAATGATAACCTATTTCAGGTCCTGCTTGACATTAAGTGCATTGTCACTTTATGATGAGCAAAACTGGCACTAAAAACTCTAGCAGTAATAGTCTTACATCTCGCATCAAAATATCTGTAGTGGAAATAGAATAATCACTAGGTTTGTCCTTTTGTCACCAGTAGTATTGTTCATATTTCATAGTGGATCATCAAATAACTCAAACCATCACCTCAACATAAACTACAATAGCATTGGATTCAATGCTATTACCAGAACACTTTGTCACAAGCAATTTTTTCTTCCTTTCCTTTTCCAATAGTATATGACTGTACCAGAAAATATACTTATCCATCCACTCCTTACTGCTACTTTAATACTTTTGCAGAAAATCCTGTGCTGAAAATGTTTTATTTCAAAGTTCAGAGGTTGATTAAATGTGCAGAGATGCAAAAATGCTGAAACATTACTTTAAATTTTTAAAAAGTACCACTGTTATTTATATGATGGTCCCTTACCTGACCTCTGTACGGAAGGACACAGCATCACTCTTGCTTCTTTGAGATATCTTCTTGAAAAAGCCCTCACAAATCCTTGGGATTAAACCATTATCTTCCTGGCATATTAAAAAGGAGAGTATGTAATACTTATAACTCATCATTAAATGATAGCATACCTTCATAGAACAATTTCATTTCGCTCTATCATGTTATCTTAATTTGGGTGTCTACACTCTAGCGTGACCACAACTTAGCATATGCAAAGAGTGCTGAACAAAAACAACAACTCGTTTGATATGGAGTTGCTGTACTGGAGCTTGAAAGCAATTCCACTCTGAGTTGCATGCCCTCTTGTTTTAATTACAGAAAAATAGATCATAAGCATTAAGAGCCATATACAATTATCTGGGATGTTGACAGCAGCTCTGCTGATGACCTTGCATAAGTCTCCAAGGTAGACAAGCAGAAGCAGAAACCTCACTGGTAATGTGAGGTTTCTATTGCTGTGCAAGGTGAGAACAGAAAAGCTGCGAGTTGCTTCCCTCATCACATTTTCTGATTAGTGGGGAGAATCATGGAGATAAATGGAGAGGGGTGGGAGAGGTGTCTGATGAGGCTGCTATGTAGTAAGGATGCAAGTAGTGAAATATTCAGACTCCTTCACTTTGTATTGCAGGTTTAATTTTACATGGATAAATGGGCCATTTTGCTCAATCTACACTTAAACCCATAATAGCAGAGTGAAAATTTGTTTTTAGAAACCTCAAATGTATTTAAAAATGAAATATTATTTACAAAAGTGATTAGACCCTCAACTCAGCAGGTCATTTGCCTCAAGGGCATTCTTTACAGTCTGTACAGCACATGACATCCTATCCTGAGAACCTTAAAGGCTGATAAACTCCTGAAAACAGTCAGAGCTTTAGAACTAGTTTTATACCACTGCCCCAATCCAACACCTCATCAGAGTTTTCTTTGGTCTTTGTGGCTGATGTGCATTGTGATTTCCAGGCTCTTAGATACATGCGGGCCTTTCTTAACTATGTCAGATCAATTCAGTTTTTCAGAGGTGAAACCAAGCCTTCATCTATTCAATGCTGTGGCATTCAACATAGTGGTTAGGCATTCAAAATTATGAATGCCTTTTTAAACAAGAGATTTCAGTTTTTGATTTAGTACATTTGCAAATATATCTTTTTTTAAATTTTGAAATTATGGGCCGTTTAGTATTGACTGATAGACAAAAAGGTCAACTTTACCCACACAGAATTAAATCTGCAACACAAAGTATTCAAAAAGTGAAGGAGTCTGAATACTTTCTGAAGCCACTACATGTACACTAACAAAAATCTTCCACAGTATAAGCTCATCCTGATCCCAGCTGATAGAGGGGGGAAAATTGTATGGCACATTAAAGATAGAAATACTTCAGAATACTGAAACAGCTACTTTAACAAATTAAAAATAGCATTTTATGCTCAGTATGAGCACAAAGTAGGTCTTACTTTATGTCCCATCATGGTGTAAGATTTTCCTGAGCCTGTTTGACCATATGCAAACACACAAGCATTGAAACCCTCAAATGCTGCTCTTAGGACATCAGACCCCAGGTCATGAAAAATCTGAAACAGCAGAGAAAAGGTTAGTTAAAACTGTATTTTCTTGAAGGGGGGGGTTACATTGCATAAAACGCTTCAGACTCTTCACTCGGTGAAACAAAAACATGACTTTCATTCCAGCTGTTCTATATATAAGTTTTGCAAAAAGATTGAAACAGTTAAGGTAGACATAAGAAGATAAGTACCCTTTCTTGGGATGCAAATGTGGGACTTGCTTTGTCGGTTGAATCATATGAGTAGTCAAATGAAAAGGTCTTTCCTCCCTCCTTCTGTTGGTCGCCTTGAATAGATGAAGGCTACAATTTCAAAATAAATAAAGAAATAAATAAATCAAGTAGCTCTTAATAAAAACCCAAACGACTTCAGTCTTAGTCCATTTTTATGTTGTGCCAATACCTTATGAATATACGTAGTGTTCTCCTTCATATGAACGATCACATTCGATGATAACTGCTTTTCTCTGCGAAAAAGTGGATAAATGTCATAATAAAAGAGCTCCTTTTGAAAGTATGGGCACAATAATTCTACGTACCGTTTGCTCAATGGACGGACTCTCACTGCTACTTTCACTGAAGCCATTATTAATCAGAAAAAGAAAAATACCGTCCACGTGAAAGTATCCATTCAAGTATCAGTGTAGCGTGATTCACACCTAATTATCACACCTGGGGCCTGTCCTCATTTTATGGATGTACTAGGGAAGGCTACACAAAATATCTATGGATTAAGAATTCATAAACCTGTCCGCCAACTTTTTTTAAACTCATATTGTTTCGTTAAGCAGCTCTGGGTTGATATGATGACTCATTTCTTAAAATAGTCTTTGAATGCTTTGAAATTCTAGATTTTGTTGATTTTAATAGCAAATAACGTCGACTTATGGAAAAGAATAAACTCAGCCAGTCATTACACACTTTATTATTGACTTTACATGATCTTTCGAGTTACTAATCAATGTTATTGTGTTGCATTAATAGCTACATGTAACTTATAATTTGTATATACGTCAATATGCTGCATTTATTACACGCAGGAAAAAACAGAGACATGTGGCAAACTTTGACAAATGGGGTCATTATTGAACTGATTTTAGGTTGTTAGCAGTCTGAAGCCTTGTGTTTACTGGTGAGCTGTTACATTCACGAAAGATTCCTTTAGTGTTAGGCTCAGCGGTGTTTGATATGTTGAGCTATTACAAAATGACACTCAATTGCTAAAATAAAAGTTATATTAAAATTACTGATTTCCAGTGGCGTTTAAAGTTCTACATGTTGTAAAAAAAAAGAAAGATCAACTACAAACACAGTCTCCACGAATAAACGCATTTATGATGCATGGATTAGCACTTTTAACCGGATGAACGGCATTTGCAAAAGAGAGAACAGTTCACTTCCAATCTTTCCATATATTACATGAACGTGGCATTACAGTCTACCACGTTTCCCATGATGCAGTGCAGTAAAGACCCGGCAGGGACATTCAAAAGTATGGCAGACGTTTCGAGTATATCTAAAGCAACATCAAACTTAGAAGACAGGGCAAATTGCTCTACTATTATCAGTGGAGATAATGAGGGAGTAATGCGTCTCTCCCTTTCGCCAGAAGAGCGTAATAGCACATCGCAGGAACCGAATATGACCCGTGAAATTTCAACGTTACAAAGTGTTTCCGAGGATTCAAATTCATCCCCACCTTTTGTGGAAATCGTCTCGCAACTTTCCCCACAGGCTGTGAAGTTGTATTCAAAGTCAAAAAATGCATTTGAATCTAAAGATACATCTACAGGGCATCGACAAACTTCAAACCAGCATAGTTTTAATGATACTGAAGACAAGGAAAACATCGCTATGCCTTCTTCAACCAGTACTCCAGGTAGGTTAACAAATGTGTGGCTCCGAATGGCATAGCGTCAGTATAAGCTAACTAAACGTTATATGGCTACGTTACGTTACTACTTTAGGTTTCTGTATTTTCATTTTGACTGTGGAAACATTTCCGAGAATGATGTTAAAACAGTTTCTTTAATGAATATACATTTGCTCTCTATCTGCGTTTACATCAATTTCGGCATAAGGCCGGCATTATATCCTGAAGTAGCAGTTGTGTAAACTCATTAAGTGCATTTACTGCAGTTCTGTGCTTAGGTACAGTTTTGAGATATTTTAAGTACGTTTATGCCCCTTTGTAATGTTCTTCTCCACTCCATTTCAGGTGGAATGAAGCAAATGATCTGGTTTTTTAATAAATGTAAATTTAAAATTTTTGACTATTTCATTGTTGTCTGATCAAATCAGGACATTTGAATGCAACATTGTTTACTCTTCTCTAGTTACTCTGCATTTGCTTAAAAGACATTGAGGTCAACAAAGAAAATATATGTTTTAGATTAAACCTTTCATAAGTGTGTAAAGTTGTTAAAACTGGCCTCACCCACAAGATGGATTAAAATGCTATGTACTATAAATATAATCCAGTAGAGTACACCTTTTTGTTTTTTTATGCATTATGTACGTTTTGCTCAAAAACTTTTTAACTATTTGCAGCTTAAGCTTAAGTGCAGGATCTGAGTATTTCTCACTCCACATTTTATTTATTCTAACACTGGCTTTGCTAGACTTAATTAACATTTAACCAGCTAAAACTGAGCAAGATGGGTCCATTGCCCACACTAATGAAATTACTGTGGTCCTTATTTGGACAGATAATACCCATGGAGAGGACACTTCTGGTCAGAGAAGTTTGCCAGATGCCAGTGTGACCACCAGTAAACAACACAGTGACACAGAGGTTAGTGATGCTGAGGTCGTGAGAAGAGCCCAGGAAGAAGGCTGTGTGAATGTGGTTTTCCCTGGCACTGTAACTCAGGAAGGCTGCTGCCGCTTTGTCAGCGAGATCCTCAAGTGCATTCTCTATCAGAGACAGCAGCTACCCATGACTTATGACCAGCTGGTGTATTCCCAGAGGAAACGGCAAGCTTCAATGCAGGTCAGTAAGAACGATGAACAAATACACACATGCTGTTCATAAATGAAGAATTGTTCCTGTGGGTCTGAGATTATTTTAAAGTGTTTTGTGAATATTTTGCTTTTCAGGATAAAGACCTAGTGAGTCGGAGGCCAGTGCAGTCTGCAGACATGGACTGGCGCAAGTGTCAGCAGACCCTTCAGGAGCTAGAGGAGGTACTGCAGCAACTGGAGGTGCTGTTTTCTCTTAGCAGGGTGCCCCGTGTGCTGCTGCTGATGGGTGGGTCCCTCGTCTTACCCAAAGAGCTGTATGAGATCAACATGGAAGGCCTGGTATTGGCTGGTGGAGATCACTGTCTACGGGTATCATCATGCTTAAGGCAACTCTTCCGCACTCTTTTTGTGGCTGATCTTTTGTCTGACAGCAGACCTGTTCATTTAATGCCCACCACTGTCTTAGTGCAGGCTCACAGGGATTGCGGTATAGGCTGGTTCCGCCCTAAACTACAATTTAAAGTGCCAACTCGTGTAAAGAACCAAATTATTGCACTGTCTACTGATTCTAACACCTGTAAGGAACTAAGGGCAAAGGGGTCAGACTGGCAGGATTATGTGTGGTTTCAGGCACCCATGACTATCAAGGGCTTCAGAAACTGACCCAAAAATTTGAGTGCGTGGTCTGGCGAGTTCTTTCTGTATACTAGAATGAAATTTTAATGGTAGTTCAAGTAAATTGAGTTGTACATATTTTAATGAATTATGGGTTCAGTTTTTTTTCTACTTATTAAATTTGATAGTGAATTTATTGAAAAGCGATATGATGTACTCTCCTTTTTATCATCATCTCAAATACTGAAGGAATGTGTTTTCAGGATGTTTCGTTGGCATATGATCAGATCTGTTTAGGGATACAGTGTTTTGTACTTAAATGTTTTGTGTTTTGCATAAAATATCACTAAACACACCACATTGGTACAACAGGTGCAATATATATATTTTAATGACAATAACTTGAAAGGATTAAGGCATTATATTGCTGTCTTCTGTCCAATCTGTGGACACAAGTGCCAGTATCATCTGTGTATGTTTACATTTATTAAAACAGTTTTCAAAAGTGCCACAGTTTTATACTTAAATCAATTTGGAAGTCCATTTTGAATGACTGATCAAAATCAAATACAACAGCAATAACTAAGAGCAGATGTACCAGTTACACTGGTTTGAGAGTGCATCAAAGGGTTCAAATTCAGAATGTCTCTACTTTCTGGACAAACTGGACAAGGTCCTTGGCTAGAAGCTGGGGCTCCTCAAAGGCAGCAAAGTGACCACCTCGAGGCATGAAAGTGTAGGAGCAGATGTTTCGATACCTCATTTCTGCCCACGATTTAGGGCAGTGCATCAGCTCTTCGGGGAAGGCAGCCACTCCAGTGGGCACAAATATCCCTGTTCTAAATTGAAAAGAATACTACTTTATTGGGGTCATCACAAGATGGGATAAAAAAGGGTTGCCAGATTTGCAAAAATAAAGGTTTTGACAGTATGAGCCACATACCTTCCATCCACCCTTTGATCAGGATCAGTCTTGAAGTTCTCTTTGTAGAAGCGCATTGAGGAGACAATGGAGCCTGTGGTCCAGTAGATCATGACATTTGTCAAGAGGTCATCCAGGCTGAATTTCCTATACAAATGCAGTCATTTTTAATTAATTACAGCCTGCAACAATTTCAAACCTCCAATATATCCTGAAAATCATTTAAAGGGTGAGAAAGAGTATCCTCTTTTACCTCTCCAGTCCACCATCGGCCAGATCTCTGTTCTTCATATCTGTCCAGGTGGAGAATTTCTCCAGAAGGTAGGCAGCTAAGCCTACAGGAGAGTCATTCAATCCACAGCCTGTGAACACAATTTAAACCACACTAAGAGCTGTGATAACAGTATAATGAGATTCTTAAATATTTGTAATGGTAACAGAACAGCAACTTTGTGTTTGACCAACGAACAGTGTCAGTATGACCATTGGAATCGGAGAGCTTGTTTCCTGCTTGTGTTTGTCCCCACCTGCAGTGTCTGGTTTAGTGCCCTGAATGTGCATGTAGCCTGACTCCTTCAGCATGTTCCAGACATTCTTCTCAAAGAAAGGGAACAGCCGGCGGACATCTTCCCGACTGAAGCCCACCAGGAAAGGCAGATAAGGACCAATGATGAGGGACAACAGCACTTTGAATCCCTTTCTTGATAAACACATGTTTAAGTGGAGCCCTTTCACGCACCTGGAAATGATAATTTGTCGACCATTATAAAGTTGGTTTTACCTACATTTTAATTTGTATTATGTGTGAATTTATAGCCATAAATTCAGGGTTTTTTGTTTTGCTCCAGTCTCCAGGAATTTTTAATGATGGTAGTTTTTGGTAACTGATATACTCTGCACACTGCAAGCACTGTTTCACAACTTAAGTAAAAATGTCACATGTCTGCTTTAAAAAAAAAAACACAACTAGATGGAGGAAATTCCACTGCAATAATTGTTTTCAGTAAGGGCTTGTTTTACTGACTGTCTTACTCAGGCTTCATCTGTGCCATGTTGGTGGTGATGAGAGAGCCCCAGTCTCCTCCCTGCAGATAGAACTGGGAGAACCCTAAACGCTCCATCAGTATCAGGAAAACTCGGGCAGCATCAAGGCTGTTGAATCCTGGAGAGGCACAAGAAGCACATCTGTAAACACCTGCTGCTCAAGCTTAAATTCATACATGTATTTAGTATGATCTACCTTGTTTATGAGGGGCTTCTGAATAGCCATAGCCTGGAATAGATGGACAGATGACCTCAAATGCAACACCATCGTGGTTCTGTGTGAGAACTGGCAGAATCTTGTAGAACTCAAAGAAGGAGCCAGGCCAGCCATGAACAAACATAAGAGGCAGGACCTTCTGATTCTCACGGGGTGGTGGTCGCACATGGACAAAGTGCACATCCAATCCTGTATTAAAGCAACAAACATTGGTTTAAAAGGTAAAAATGGTGGACTTAGTCTTGGCCAAATGTCCAAATTATTAGAAACTACAGCAGAACAAAGCAGACATGTTGATTTAGCAGGTGGCTGTGTGTACCTTCTATTTTGGTTTTGAAGTGTGGATACTTGTTAAGCATTGCCACCTGCTTTTTCCAGTCAAACTCTTGTCGCCAATAGGTAATCACTTTCTTGAGATAAGTGGAATTGAAACCATACTGGAAGCCACTATCTTCTAAAGGATTTGTGTAGCGGGCTCTATCAAGGCGCTCATAAAGGTCCTGTTGAGTAAACACAGTTGATTACTTCCAATAAACATAATGCTGTCTTATTTTTATTGCTTCTAATTTAGTAATTAGTGATGAAACGTGTTAACTGCTCCAAATAACCTGAATCTCTTCATCTGAGGTCTGGACTTGAAAAGGGTAGATTTGAGCATCCTCTGACAGTGGCGCCTCTCCTGCTCCCCACCATCCTTCACCAAGAGGAATCCTCTTGACTTGTCTTCTTTTGTACATTGTGTATGCCAGTATGCCCCCTACTGCCACCGCTGACCCTATCAGAAGCTGCTGCTGCTGGACAGGATCCAAGCCAAAGAAGGATTCCCTGCTAAGTTTGGGAAAATATGAGAGGACTCATTGAAGATAATTACAGCAATGATATCATTACACATGTTTTGGGGTATATGTGGATAAGATCAGAGAGTGGTAATAGGCGTCTTACTTCAAAATGCGCAGCATTGTGCAGTTCCAAAGGTGAGCGACCACAGGTTGTTACTTAGAGCTGAACTGGGACAAAGGTAAAATGTTTTCCGCTCAGTTTTGTAAATGCACGCCAATAACAATACACCGTGGTTTTCAGCATACCTCGTTTGTTTCCAGTTGTATATTCCTCGGATTTACGTTGGAGTTTGTACCACTGGAAAAAAGCAACAACAGGCTACAAACCAAACATGCTCGGGCAGTACGACGGCCTCTATCCGCTCGGGTGTGGGTTCACGTTACGTTACATTGCAAAGACCGTTGATTGGCTGCAAGTGCACAAACAACAGTGACGTCGCTGTTTATATAACAGAGGAGGAAGTAGAAGATCTTTGTTGTTTTGAGGTCATTTTCTACGTTAACAGAAGAAAAATGTGGAAGATTGTCTTTATCGCCTTTGCGACGGCGTTCGCCGTCAGGATGGGTGATACGGTAGGGGCGCCCCAGGTCCACTTGGGTGGCTTGGTAGGGGCGCCCCAGGACACAAATCCCAACGATGACATGGCGCAGCAAGCCCTGAACTTCGCCGTCGACGAACACAACAGGAGAACCAACGACCTGTACCTTAGCCGAGTGTCAAGAGTGATCAGTCTTAAGAGTCAGGTTTGTAACAGTTCATGAATGTTTGAAGACTGTATGGTAGGGCGCGGTGTGTTGGCACCATTAACAAATACAGTATATGGTAGATTCACTCCTGAACGGCTGGGAGTCACAATCAAATGCTTACAGTGGTTTGTAGCCTATCTAGCTGAATTTAGTCTCTCGGCCTCATAAAGTTTTTAACCAAAAAAGTTAAGACTAACCATTTTGTGACTATGTAGCATATTCTGAAGGCTCTAGTAGAACATGCTGCAGTACATTTTTAAATATTCAGGATTATGATAATCTGTATTTTGTGTTGTCCTGAAATCAGCTACATTGCTATAGTCCTTTATTAATAAGGCTGCCTGATCAGTGTTTCTAACCCACATCTCTTTACAGGTAGTTGCTGGCATTAAGTACTTCTTTACAGTGGAAATGGGAAAGACCCCATGCAGAAAGAACCAAGAAACTGGAACGTGTGCCATTAACAAAAACCCGAAAAGGGCTCAGGTAATGACTTTATTAAGGGGGGGTTGTTGTTATTAGACACTGTTTAAATGTCCGCTTCTTCAAAATGTTACACCACAAACTATTGTTGTTGTGAAACTGTGAGGTACGTCCCCTCCCCAGACCTTTGTTTTTGCTGTTACAATAGAGAAAAGCTAGAACTAAACAGACCAGAGTGGCTCAAAGGGATTTGTTAGAAACCTGCACCAATATGAACATACCAAAATTTGATAATGTCTGTCGTCTTGCATGATCACACTGGGCATATCAGATGACAACAGTGAAACACAAACACGTTAAGCCATAGTAAATTGTATCCACATATATAACACACATAATCAACATATTTAACCTGTTTGTTCAAACTTTTCTCCTCAGCTTTACCAGTGCATGTTTACCGTGTGGTCCCGGCCATGGATGCCAGACATCCAGGTTTTGAAAGAGGAATGCTAGAAAGGGGAATCGTAGACAGAGGACAGCGTGGGAATTTTCCAGTGCTGGCATTGTTTGCGAAATAGCATTCACACTAAGAAATGACCATTTTCTTCTAGATGAACCACAAAAATATCAAGATTAGCATTTTCTGCTGTCTTTTCCTATTTCTCTAGCTAGATTTGCTTAACAGTTTCACTTTTCAGAATAATCTGTATTGCAGTGTTAAAGTTCATAAACAATGTATTTGTCTTGGTAATTGTTAGGACTTTAGTTTTACATTTCTGTTATGCCTTTGTCACCCCCTTACTATATATAATATATATATATATAGTTCATTTGTTTTTCTTCATTATAATACATGTAGCCTATGCAATAAATTTGTAAATTTTCCCCTACATTGTAGGTTAAAGGTTCAATAAAGAAAGGAAAAAAAATTTCACAATTTAAAATTTCTAGTGTCTGGGAAAGTTTTTCAAATACAAAATCTCAATGTATTGAAAATTCATAATACAAAGAGTGATATTTGACCTGGTTTGCAGTTTGTGTCCTGTCAACACTTTCACAGAAGTCTCTTTTATTGCTGTGGGTGTGAAAATGATTTTTTTTGGCCACAGTACCACAAGTAGCCACTGGGAATCACTGGCTAAGGGGGCAGTGCCCTATCCAGCTCTCTATATAGGCTACATTCATGAGTGCACCACATAACATACCTGGATAGGTGCCCATTTAAGGTGTTTTTTTCCAGGATAAGGTGAATACTCCTTTGAATGGTGATGACAATTTTAGTGGAATGATACACAGCATCAGTGATGAAACTCCATTAGTCTGCTAATGGATGAAAGTCTTTAACAAAGATGAACTACAGATTGCTGAAGGAGTTCCGCTAAAACACTTGAAGAGTTTGATGGTAGACAACTGCATACCTTTTGCGTAGCCTACAAACCGAGTACACTGTCCTGATTTTAAAATCATCATTTGCTAACCTGACCACAAGGTGAGTTCACACTCCACTATTTAGATAGACCCTGTAGCTTTATCAGACTGAGTTTTGCATGCCCCTTTGACTGAAATCTTTTGTGTTAACTTCACAGAACAAGCGGGCCCTGGAGTTCATAAAACCGGTGACAGAGGACAATGCACTTGACTGGAGCACCCATTTCAAAATTGGAGGTGAGTTTAGAGCACCACAGGGAACAAATGGGACTCAATGACAGCACAGAGTATTTGTGGCAGTGTGTAACTTAGTGGAATAATTTACTGTTCAATCAAGCACTGTGGCCAAGTACATTTTTAAATTATTGTACTTCCATTGCCAGTACAATTCAGAGGTAAATATTATACCTTTTGCTTCACTACATCCTTTGACAGCTTTACAAATAAGATGTACACACAAAACATAGGCCTACAATATGATAAATTATTATGATATAATGTAGATAAATACGTGTGTAATAATCTATATCTTCATAGGGACCATTTTCCTGCATTGAACACTTTTACTTTTGATACTGTTTTTTGTTTTTATATTTGCATACATTTGAACATTTCCAATGTAGGACTTGAAGTTGTAATGGAGTATGTTTAAAATGTAAAGCCTTGCAAAAATAAATTAGAGAATAGTGCTAATTTCCCATGCTGTCAGATTTTTTTTTTTTTTTTTTTACAAAAAAGTCAACATCAGATGCTATAGCTTGGCGCATCTCATGACAGCAACCATCTGCTGACTCCAGCCGTTGGCAGGTATGCTCAGATAATTAATATGAATTTTAAAGGGCTTAATTCACTTACAATGACATTAAAGAAAAGTTAAATATATGAAAGATGTATGTGTCCATCCATTCGTCTTGTATCCACTGTATGTGTCCATCCATTTGTCCATAAATACATACACACAGACAGACATACAATGTTGACATGGTGAAAAAAGCCTGGACGTTTGGAGGGAACATGCAGGGTTACCTTGAACACACCATCAGCAAATTCACTGACAGCTGGTGTATGATTACTGTGCCATGGACATATTATTCACTGTGCCAGAGCACTGGAGGAAAGGCTATGCTAAAGTGTTGATCAGCAACATAGCCAAGAGACTCCACACTGAGGTCTACCCAGTGTAGTGCTTCATAGAGGAGGAAAACATGGTCTACTTCATTGAGGATCCACAGGGCATGGTTTGACTTTAACATTTTCTTTGGTGTGTGTTTCTAGCACTTTTTGAATATATACCTGAAATATCAGATAAACATATACACTTTATTGTTGGATAAAAAATAATTTAAATTAAAGCAATTCAGCAAACAAAATTAATAACATTTATTGTTACTCCTGTAGCACATTTGTTCTGCTTATACATAGATATTTTAAAGTAATTTTTATCAGTCTTGATAAACTGAACAGTTGTCAAATTATGTACATATATACATATCCCCAAAATAAATATAGCCCATATCATACATAGGTTTTATTCTTTTTTCAAAGAGAAAGTGTGTTATCCTTTTACTGTGAAAGCTTAACAGATTACCATATAGTCCAGGTTGAACATTTTCATGTTAAGTTTTATATTTTGAAACATGTTTTCACAGTTGTGAATCACAGTTTAAAACAACCCTTATGTTCTCAGAGTTTTCAGTCCAGGCTGCAGTACTTTTTGGGGAAATCTGAAATTACGTACAACAAAATGACAAGTGGTAACTCCTAATGAACTTGGCATTACAGAATATTACATAGCATTAACTTTTCAACTTTGCGCGCAACTCGTGTGTCGAAAGTGTGAATCGAAAACCCAGCCGGTGTTTTGATGATCTGTGCTATCAATATCCTACCATAGGTGGGAAGCCATAGACTGCGCCTTGGATTCATGCTATAGAAGCATGTTTCGATAAGGCACCACATATCGTCAGCACCATACAGTCGTCCGCCCACTCAGCGCTTTGCTCAGGACCTCGGTGATTATCCTTACTGTATCGTATGTGCGGTTCTGCGCGTGTGGGTTAGGTTGGCGCTGGTGGGAAGCCATAGACTTCCCCTTGGAATCACGCTACAGAAGCATGTTCCGATATCGTCAGCACGACACAGTCGGTGGTCAGAACAGCGGATGTCCGCCCACTCAGCACTTTGCTCAGGACCTCTACGGACGTCCACGCATTCTCAAACTGTACTGTACTGGATGACCGTGCAGTTTTCTTGATATTCCAGACTGCAAATGTGGCCCCTATGATATTTGTGGTGCAAGAATGTGGTGCCCAGGACCCCTTGTTTTGTTCATAGTACCCCTCTCCTTTGGGATTTTATTATTTTTGGTTATTTGTTCTAAAACTTACCTGCTGGTGATTCAGACTCGGGGCGATATTTATTTGGTCCAATAGAGGGCAGCCGCAGCCTATACTGAAGACACTATCGGCACTCCGAAAACCGGAAGGAGGTCCGATGCGAGAGTGAGGCCAGTAAATGGTGTATTGTTAAGCGGCTGTGTTGTTTAGATGTGTTACAGCAGGGGTGGCCAATTCCAGTCCTCGAGGGCCGCTGTCCTGCTTGTTTTCCAAC